TAAAATAAATAGCATTTATACTGCGCATTTCTAATTTCTAAAAAATGCTCAATGCGCATTACAACGAAAAAAACCCATCACATCTTAAAAATTAATCGACATGCGTGTACGTAAAGCAACGTATTAAACATGATATAATATAAATGTATATATTATGTTGTGTGTGTGAGTGGTTGGCGGGTGTTGTTTGCTCCTTTTTTCCTATCAAACATCTGTCGCCCTAATCTCTCCTACTTCTTTTTTTGTGTTTGTTAATTTCTTGTAAGTGGGTGGTTGGCGGGTGCTCTGGTGTGGTCTGTTCCTTTTTTCCTATCAAACGTCTATCGTCCTTATCTCTCCTCCTTCTTCTTTTTGTGTACTTTACTCTCTTGTAACACCTCTAATCTTCGGCACTTATAAAACTTGTATTACCTTATTGTGTTGCAAGTCCCATAAAACTCTTGCTTAAACTAAAGGTAAATCTCTTGTAATACCTTTGGCATTTATATGACCTATTTGTGTTGCAAGTGCCGTAAAATGCTTTCTTATCTTAAACATAAGAGAACCCCAGTCTAGCGATAGATCATGTAACAATTTTCTGCTGCGTGGATTCCGTGACACTCAATAACTCGCTGCTCTTTTGATCTTTTAAATAATGGGCTACTATTTTCCACTCGACTTCACACGCTGGAGTTAGGAACGTACCCTTGTTCTGAAGATCCGGATTTCAAGGACTCCGATTTAAGATCAAACGATTTTCGGAGCTTCTGTCATTCTTGAGTGGGTGGTTAACGGGTGCATAGTGTGGCATGCTCCTTCTTTCCTATCAAACATTGTTATCGTCCGTATCACCCCTTGTTCTGTGTGTTTGTTACTCATTCGCATCATCGCTAGTCTTTGGCATTAATTATATGACCTAATTTGCAGGTAGCGTGGAGTAGATATACTTTGACCTCGAGAATCCTCACATTTTATGTTCGGCTCTTTTATGCAAGCAAAACATGCGCTCGAACATGGCGCGGGCAAGTGTGTGTGTGTGTGTGTGTGTGTGTGTG